ATCGCCCTAATGGACCCAGATCCCCCGATCCGTGGACCGCCTCCGTGTGACAACTAAGAACTTGCTGTTTCAATTAAGACTGGCCATAAACTCGGCCCCTTTCTCGACCGATGTTCGTTATCTGCGGGGCTTGTCACTCGGCTCGATTTTGTTTTCCACTAAATAAAGACATTAAAAGGGCCGTCAGGTTCTGTTTTCGTGTCCCCTCGTTTCGGTTACGGATCTTGGGACTTAGCTGCTGGGATTTATTAGGGACCACCTTTGGTCTGTGGCTTAACACTTTTTAATTTTTAATTTCACTTGCCACACGGGGCAATCAATCTCGGCCCCGGATCGTGGAGTTATGAGTCTGAGAAATGGTCATCGGTCGAGTCATAAACCATCATTAACAAGGCAGCTGCTCTCCGGCGCTTGGCCCTGGCCATAACCAGGGATTTCGGACATGGACCTGGTCAGTGGATGCAGTTTTTGTGGGCGATCGCAACAAGTTCCATAGAATCAGCTGCCGGGCGGGAAAAGTGTTGACAACTCGGCTTCTTCTTGTGGGGTCTCATCCGAGAGATTTGGTGGTGGGGACAGCAGGTGATCCCCCTGCCCCTCTATTTTTGGGAATTATGTTCGGTTTATTGCAAGTTCTTTGGTGTTGTTGTTGGTCGCGAGATCGGGGAAATAAGATTCGAGGGAATTCGTTACGGAATGCAGGCCTCAGAGCTTTCTGCTCTATTTTTCTTTCTTCGCAGTTAGATTTAAACCGATTAGGCAGTCCGCTGGGGGTTTCTTTCTCCATCATCTCCAGCTGCTGGGAAGGGAAGGCTACCCTGAAACACTTCCCACTGCTAATTACTAGCTAATTTGCTAATCATTATTGATAATTATGTGCCAGAAATGGGGTCTTGTGACTGTAAATCTAACAAATTATCTTGCAATTTGTTTAACTAACTTTATTTGCTGTGAAATCCATCTTCCCGCTAGAATTCCCTCTTCTAATATCCCAATTAACGTATCAAACATTTAAACAGAAACCTTCGACGTGTCGAAATGCCTTAACTTCTTTAGCTTCTCCATCGCTCTGGCTTTGCCCTGCCTTTCCCTGCCTCTATCACAGCGTAATCTTGGTAATCCACAAACAGCTAACAACGAAACTCGCCAAACGACCGATTCAGGCGCGCATTTTCATGAATGAACCTCTGAGTGAGTGAATGAAATTTCGATTTCCACAACTCCTACACCACAATGCCGATAAGAAGGGGCATTTGGCGGGGGCAACTGGTGTCCCAGCCTACTCGCGCATGCAAAACACGATTTACTATTAAGGCAAAATGCGCAGACAGAAGAAAAAAATACAGAAATAGTGGCAAGGAGGGATTGGGGGATCGCTGGGGAACCAGAAGCCAGACAACAAACAACTTTTGACGTCGCATAGAAGAAATTGAATGGAGCGGAGCTGAATGGAGGAGTTCCATGGTGCCAGGTCTTAGGTCCGAGGCCCGGAGGAGTTTAGAGTTTTTAGACCCGACTACTCCATTCATAAATGGCCATGGCAAGCGGGTTTTGGCAACGTGCTCTTCGCCGGATGACTCATCTCCACACTGGATGGCTGGCTGGCAATGGGGCACGTGATGCCATCGTCGAGGTGTGTCAATTAGCAGTTAGTTGTTGCAGTTGAAGAGGCGGTCACAGGAGGAGGAGAATGGGTACTGGGATTGGGATAGGGGTGCTGGATGAGCCAGAGGAGTAGGTAATCGCTGGTGGTTTTTAGTCCAGAGCGTGACTCATCTCGTCATGGGAGTTGCTGGCAAGGAGTTCTGGTCTTGAACCAGTATTAGTTAAACAAATTAGCGGAATTTCTTGTTAACTAAGTACTTTAGTAATTGCAGTGTTTGAATATGAAAATTAAGTAAAAATATGACCTTGTTTTTATACTTTTTCAGCCAACAAAAGTAGCCTAAAACACAGTTTAGTTCTATGAACTAGTTCATTGTATGCAGAACCACACTGAATGGGAACATTCTATAGATATGTCTTAGTTAATTACTAAAGTATAAGTTAACTAATAACAATCAACTATCAATTTAACTGCTTATTAATTAAAAACTAGTTCAGCGTGGAACCTAAGTGATCAACTCTGGCGACTAACGCCTTTGCCAATCCATGAATGAAGCAATTGCCAACTGGTTTTCCAGAGCCGCTTCCTGCGGCCTAGACTTGATCTGGGGAGTCGAGACTAAAAACAGAGTCTGGCTTGGAGCCAGACGGCGACTGGAAGTGTGCACCCACATGATCCATGGCCCGTCGTCAATTGTGCGGGTGTCCACAAGCACTTTAATACTGTGTATCCACATCCACATCCACATCCGCTGGCTTCTCTATTAAATGCGGAAGAGGGCGGGCGGCATTCATTTCCCTCGCAGTTCCTGCCCCCTCTCACGTGCTGGGCGGGATTCTCCGCTATGGATTCAGTTTTGGTTGGGGTTTCGTATCCCAATTCTGGGTTTGGCATTGTCGGCTCGCTTTGTGGCGCCCACAGCCGCGTGCCACTTTGATTAATTATGCGGTGCAATGTGGCCACCTACTCCTCCGCCTCCTTTCCCTTTGATTGGTTAACTGTCATTGTTCTGGCATATTTGTTTGGTTTGCTCGGCTGTTACCGACTGAAACCCACAACAATTGACCCAATTACGAGGACATCGGGAGTATCTGGACACGGCGGGATGATTTTTCATGTCCATCGAGCATGGCTTTATCTCTGGTCACAGATCGTTGTTTAATTCAGTGAATCAGGGTCAGTCTGTACTTTATTTGGCTGGTTAATCCATCAGAAAAATGTGTATTTAAGGTATATTTTAAGATCTTTAAATTATTAATTATGGTTTTGACTCTCAAGTAGTGTAATATACTACGTTCCCGCTTAAAGTTGGTATATAGATAAAACCCAAACCAAGTTTCCCTTTGGCCCGCTTGGCTAAACTTCATCCTTGACTTGATTTCTTGGCTGCTCGCCTACTTTTGTTATTTTGTAACAATTTCCTCTGGGCGAATTTCCCTCGAAAAGTTGCAACAAAGTGGCGAAAACAGCCGCCAGGAGGGTGGCTCTGTGCAATTTTACTGTCAATTAGGCGGCACCACGGCCGAGAGTTGAGTTTATTGTTGGGCCACCTTCAAAATTCGAGGCCAGGCAGGAGGATACAGTAACCAAGAGGCGTAAATCTTTCAGTTAGTAAAGTGCACTGCGCAAAAATAGGTAGTTTTATACCCTTGAAAGCATATCAATGTACGGCAGGTGTGTTCATCAGAGGATTCAATGCCAAAATAGCAGGGATTCAGAGTCCGAGGAGCGGGGAAATCACGGGGAAGGCAGCCAGCACGAGCGCCACAGCAGCTGCCGCTGAATGGACAGCGGCTAATTCCCCGCCGCCTGCCAAATGCCAAATGCCAAAATGGCAAAGCGGCAACAATGAACGGCACACAGGGTGAAGGTCAGATTTCGGGCAATCAAACAATGGACAAAAGGAATCGTTTTGAATATGAAATGAGATTGGCATACAACCGGCCGAGAAATGGTAGTCGCCTTGACCGTAGGTGGACTCCAATTACCCTACGGCAGCTGGAACCGCCTCCTCCCGGATTTGGATTCGGAATCCCAATCGCAATCTCCTCGATCTCGATTGATCTTTCAATCAATGGCAGCTGCCTCGGCCGGCTCTTTGGAGTGCGCCAATTTTCAATCTCGAACGTCAATATTTGCCTGGACTTTGGGCGGTTCGAAAATTCCAGGAATGCCCTGCTTTTTGGGTTAAAGCAAGTTGGTTTTTTTGTCCAAGGAGTAGACTAGAAAGTTACCTGTGATTTATTGTATACTACATAGAATTTTATAGTTTTCCATTAAGCCTTTTCCTCTGCCCTAAACTCACGGCTTCTTTCATGCAAATTTTCAAATCTGAAACAGAAAATCAGTTTTCTAAATGGAATTATATAGAACTTAATAGAACCTCCTTTTGAGGTTTCCTACCGTCGTGTATTCCCCTTTGGAACCACTGAGCATCGGACACGTTATCGCCAGCTTTTTATCGTGCCACTGCCCAAAAGGAGCCGCGTCATCAGCGGAGATTGAAATAATTCCGAGTTGCCAACTTGCCAAGTCATCCCGAATTGGTCAGCGGTCGGTCGAGGCCTCTGATCTCTGGGAATATACATGCATTTATGTTCCTGGGGAGGAGCGGAGATCGCGTGCGATAGGCAACGTCAATATTTGTGTTTATTTCTGGCTGGGATCGGATCGGATCAGATGGGAATGGGATTGGGCATGGGCATGGGCATGGGCATGATTATGAGGTCCTTGTTAGTCCGTTTGAATTGGCGGCGCTTTCGCTTTGAGGTCGAACAAGTGGCTGCCCAATTTGCGCTCTGTTTGTGTATCATTTTGTGGGCCTGGCTAATTGTTTTGTGCCCTTAAAGATCGGCTACCTGACCCGATCTAAGCCCAGCCATGGGAATCTCGGCGGTTTTATCTGCTCTGGATTTTGGATTTCATTATTTTGCGGTCGATGTGGGAAAACTGCAAGCAGGCTAGAAATTTAACAAGTTTTTTGGGTTTGTACAAATTATTTCGAGTTTACTAGAAAACTCTTACCCGACTCGCTTGGCAAAGGAATGAGAAATTGCGGTGTGTTGACCTTCCGGTCTATTTTGGACATTAACTAGATTTCTTTTTATGAAAATTAATTCAGTTAAATGGGTGTAAGCTGAAGTTCTGAGTGGTCACCAGGATGAACTAAGAGGCTTAAGGATTCGCCGTCTTCTAAATCTCAAAGTCACCGCCTAGTTTCATGAATTAGATCCGGAACTACTCACACATTTTACTCGTTCATGAGCTTATGGTTCCTTTTCTGTCACTTGACTTTTCACTTTGACAGCTGTCATATTAAAGTTATTCCCTAATTTGTAACTATTTAATTCCTATAAGAAATAAGCGCAAGAGAATGAGTTATGCAACTTATATAATGGACATTGATACACTGCAGGCTGCAGATCAGACGACTTTCGAGGAAGTGGAATCGTCCAGGTGAGTTCAAAGGCAAATTAAGAACTGCAAGTCATGTACCTAACCAAAAATTACTAGGCAGGAGACTTTTGAGAAGCCAACAGCCACCAAAACATTGCTGCAAAGTGTGCAGGCCAAGGATAAGACGCATGAGGTTAGTGCTTAGCTATATTTATCACTCTTGAGATTAACCTAAAGTTATATTTCTGATTCAGTACTTGGCCACCCGCTGGGTTAAGTTCTTCTTGGGGAGCCCCTCGCCAGCCTTCCTTACTCTAATGGAGTTCCTTTTCGAGGCCAGTGGATGTCTGTATGAGATTCCGAAGGATACAGAAATGCCATTTCCCTACGCAGACATTCTGGTAGATTGCCTGTCAAAGTGTCGCAGTGTAAGTAATGGATAGATTTCCATCTAAGCGATATGATTCTGTATCTCAACTTTGTTCTTTTCAGGTCAGTCTGCAATATCCCGTCATTACGAAGAGGGCTGACATCTTCATTCGCAAAATTGTCAGCTTTTTCCAAGCTCTTCTGAACTCGGCCAACATCATGCCCGATGCTTTGTTCAACAAATTTCTGGAAGAATTGCTTGGCTTTGTGATGGCCTTTTCGCAGTCCTCCGCACGGCCCATTCGCCATACCAGCACCTTGCTGGGTGAGGATCTATGCTAATGCCATGATGATTTTAAAATTCAAGAAGCTCTTTTCAGGTCTCAAACTTATGACCATACTGAAAGATCAAACATCTATGGACCAGGAATTGCCCAAGACGGTGTGGGAGAAGATGTTCAACTGCCTGTTTGTAGATCGCCGCATGGATGTGGTGGATAACATAAGAGCCGTGTGCCTCACCGAGCTTGGCCTGTGGTTCCAGAAGTATCCAGAGGGTTATCTTCAAGATAGCAATCTGTGGTTTATCTTCGAAGCTTTGGGTGACAGCTCGGCGGAAGTTAGGCAGCTTTGTCTTTCCATTATCACGAGACTCCTTCCCAACGAGCATCTTCGCCCAACGTGTCTGGAATTAGGCCAGGAGTTTCGGGAGCTATTGCTAAGTTTTTGCATGGACAAGGAGGACGAACTAGCTGAGGAATCCTTGCGACTCCTGGCCGATTTCTATCAATATTCCCCAGAAATTCTAAGTCCTGACACTTGCCTGCTGCTGGAGCAACTAATGTTCGCCGCACATCGTGGATTAGCGCAGGCCGCGGGGGAGTTTTTCATGATGCGGAGGAAGGTAATGGAAGGAGAAACATTTCCTGAAAGAATAAATCCGCTGCTGCTCCTTTACGCCAAGGATAGTCCCCATGAGCATGCCGCCTATCTGGTGGATTCTCTGCTGGACAAGTACGAAATTATCCTAGACTGGCAGTCAATGATATGGATGCTGGTCGACGATGAGTCGGGGTTAAACGAAGATCAGTGCTCTTCTTTGATTGAAATCCTTACCGTAGGGGTGAAGCAAGCGATTACTGGGGAAATACCAGCAGGAAGAATCACCAAAGATCTGGAGAGGAATCCAAAGGAGGGGGCCAAAAAGAAAGCCACTGCTTTACTGGCACCGATTTTACCCGAACTCCTTCAGAGTTATGCTTCCCGCCTAGCTGATCTGAAGAATCTCCTAGAGCTACCGCAGCACTTGGAACTCCAGTACTACAAGCAAAAAACCAACGACAGGCAACTTAGGCAATTATTATATGAGATCAACACCGTAATGTTCCACCAGACCGACTACGAAGTGCTCCAGATTGCGGCTCACACTTTGGACATTCTCTATGCCATAGGCACTACTAGGATACTTGTAAAGGAACTGATCGACAGTGCGGTGACCAACTACCGCCTGGCCTGGCAGGAGATTTTCGATGTGGAAAACTCATCATCCTCGTCCTCATCGGAATCATCTTTCTCCACCCAAACTCCGGAGAGCGACTACAACCGAATGCTGATTTCCTTACGTTTGGTGACAGCCCTCTACGCCCGCTTCAATCTCAGTGGCTGGCAGATGAACGAATCGGTTCTGGGCAACCTGAGAATACTGGCCAGGGAACAGTTGGTACTAAGCTCTTATAACATGCTCACAGAAACAGTGGCTCTTTATCTGGAGTGTGGCTTCTACAGCCTATGCTGGGACTTGGGGCAGTTCCAGGACGAGGCCTCTAAGAATCCAAACATGAAGGACTCTCTTTGCGCCCTTAAGAAGAACTTGGATGATTTCATGTTCGCAAGCCTTAACCCGGTTCTTGAAGGTGGCCATGCTATACTGATAGATCTGGTGAGGAAAGTCTATATTATATCACATCTTGCCATAATATAGCTGTTAATTCCAGAGCTTTTCCTATGTCTGCGATCTGCTTGTGATGTTTGGGTATCACCTACGTGAGAGCTCCTACCCATCGGTCCGCTCTCTGGCGTACTCGCCGTCTGCTTGTCAGCTGGATCTTCTGGAGAAGTGCGTTGTGGACAACATCTTCGAGATGAGTCCTTCGGATCTGATGGCACCAGATAACTTTGGTCAGCTGCAGAACATGCGAGGCATCCTAAACAGCTACTGCAAACTGGTGTCCTTCAACGTGGTGCCCACCATGAAAGCCAGCAAGATCTTTCAGTACTACGGAAAGGTTGCTAAGTTATAACCAAAAAAAGGAAAACTTATTAAAGTTACTTCTCTTTTTCAGTATTTTGAACCATTTGGCGACATAATGAAGTGCACCATGGAACACGCTCTGCACATCAACCCTATCAACTATGCAATGACCTTGTTTCACTCCTGTTTGCATTTATTCTCTAGGATTATGTCCGATAATGACCAAGATGGACTCAGGGCTGCCAATTCAGCAGAGTTTTCGGAACTAATAGAGCTAGCTAACCGATTGGCTGAGACCATTAAGTCCAATCTCTTAGAGAATCGCCAATGCATCATTGTCCTGAACCGGGCTGGAGTTATGTTTGTCAAGGATTCATTGCAGGGAAAACCCACGGCTGTCCCACAAAACCTACTTTTCCTGCGTGTCTGTCAGGTGTTTGTGCCGCTGCTCTTGAGGCAGGACAAACTTACGATACTTAAATTGGTCAAGACAATCGAGGAACCTGCGCTGCCTTCTTGCAAGAGGGAGGACTGGCAGAACTTGCAAGAATTTTGTTTCTTATTGAGTCCGTCAAAGAGAGGGTTAAAGTGAATCCTCTTTGACAACTTTGAGAGCTTATTTATATAGTAATTAATTACTTTCCAAAGATATATAATATCTGACCGTCAAAGCTAGGTCTTAAAACGATATCCCTGCTCTAGGGTGCTCAGACCTTTTTAAAAAACTATTTGTGAATGTATCTTTCTGAGGGCAGATCCTTCTCGCTTCTGTGTGTGTTTAACTGCAATTGGAAAACCCATCTCAGTTTCACCGGCAGCAGTTAGAGGAGCTTTTCCTGCTGCAGTGCCACCTTTCGTTCAAAAGGCCACAAAAGGTTGCGTAATAACGCCCAGTATCTTGTATCTGCAGGCTGCATTCAGTTGGCAGCTGCCATGGTATCGAATTTCCAAGTCCCATTCATATCGAAGGTTGCTCAGCAATTTTCAATTTCAATGCCCGTTCGCTGACAAATTGACTCGCAACTTTGTGGGTTCTCCGGAGGAGTGTGGCAGGGGGTGCTCATGTCAAAGGCTGCGCAAGCCAACACGGCCTTTGACACCCCGAAATGGAGAAGGAGAGCGGGGAATCGAATCGCAGGCCCTCAAGGTGGGCGCTAAAATTTTGGGAAACGAGACTAAACGAAATGAAATTCAAGTGGATATTGGGTCACTTCTGGTTTTGGTTTTCAAGTGCCCGGCCGTTTGTCCATTTCCTTGGCACATGCCAAGTGGTCGTCGGGTATCGGATTACGGGACTGGGAAACCTACAAACTCCTATGTGGAACTCTACAGTACATTTTGCAGATTCCACTGGCCATAAAACAGCTGTGGGAGATGCTAAGCGAAACATTCCTGGCCATCAAGCACACGGCGGATCGATCGTTGGGGAGCAACATCTGGTCATACTGATCTTAATTGGAACATCTTCTCGAAGGAGGCACACTTCGGTTGGTGCACTGGGAGAAATTATAATATAAGTTAGATAAAAAGGACTAAACTCTTAATTGATAGGCATCCTCTTCTGTTAGACCCAAGATTAAGAGTCTTTGATAAACTTAAAAGATTCCTTAATGTAAGAACACTCGATTTTCCTGAGTGTACCTGACAGGTAGCAACGAACTGAGCAGAGCAACCTGGCCCATCCATTTCGCGTAACGGGCTGCGAGAACCGCTAGGCCATGGCAATTGCATTTCACGGTCCGTCCCGATTCCGATCACGATCCCGATCTCCCCTGATCTGAGATCCAGGTCCGCCAACGGAACCTGACATCACAGATGTCCTGACGGCCAGATCCGATCGCCCTCGGTTGCGGTTTAACGAGATGTGCGCCCGCCCCCTCGACACACGCCTCCACAGAAACCCCCGGGCCGAGATCTCCCCTAGCATGATTTTTGGGACCAGATAAACCCCATTCCTCGCCCCTCGAGCGAAAGTGTAACGCAATTTCAGACACGCGCATCTGTCGTTCGGTTTGGGTTTCGGATCTCGAGGAGCAGTTGTGGCCGCCGAAAAAAGGCTGAAATGTTCGCAAAAAAGGAGTTTGAGTTTTAAATACTCAAGAAAGGGGCGACGACACGTGGCACTTGATTCGTATCACATTTCTCGACTATTTCGGGAGTTTACATTTCGGCAGGGAAGGGTTTCCCTTTTTGCCTCTTCGGTTTTTATTTCGTTAACTCCTCTTGCCAACTGTCAACCCATTTGGCCGATATTTATGGCCAGTTGCTGTTAGGCATCGGTTGCTGTTGCAACTGTTATTAACATGAATTTATTGCTTGTTTCGGCGTTTTTTTCGGCGAAGAATTTGAATTTTAGCAAATAAAGTGTGGCCACTCCGGGCTTTTACCGCTATTAAGAGGTAAAAGGGTTAGGAAAATGTGGGGTTGCCACTTCTTTTCAAACATAACTTAACGGTAATACTAATTAGCTGTTTATGTTATTTTTTTTTCTATTTCAAACTTCCTTTTTTGCCATCATATAGCTCTTGGGTAATGTAAATGTTAAGTCCCAAGTCTTAATCCCCTTCATTAATCAACTTTTAGAGAAACCTTCCCCACACTCCGTTGCCTTTGAAAAATGTCCTTCTAATCGTCTGAAGTACAACATTAGCTTAGCCAAGGCCCGTCAAGTTGCGTGTAAAAACACGAATTCCTCGATTCATCAACGCGACAGGAGGTCCTTACTTTAGGTCCTTCGGATCCTCGCGGTTCCATTGATAAATGCCAAAAGAAATTTGTCGATTGTCAATCAGAGGATCTTGAGTTCGAGGTGATCCCTCGACTGACAGCAAACACGCGGTGTTGTCCTTACTCATTTTGTCCCCTGGCTGCCGTTTTTCTGTTTTTGTTTTTGTTACTGTTGCTGCTGTCGCTGCTGCTGCTGCTGCTGCCTAATGTCTTGGCAAATAAGGAGCGCCGCTCCTGGCGACGACTTCTGCCACGGTAGTCCCTTTCCACATGTCCTATATCCTCTGGATGTCCTGTTCCTGGCAGGCACGGTGTGTGTAAATCAGGCCGCCTGTTTACAAATGTGTCGCCATCGCGTAACTCAATCCTTGCCGCGCTGCTAGCACAGGATGCGCTTGACAGCCGTCGCCGGCTTGGCAAACCAATAAATACCATTTAGATGTTGCCCTAAGGTCTCCTACCCTGCCCCTCCGCCGCGACCACCGCTTTCGTTTCTTACACGGAGAGAAATAGAAGGGGCTTTTGGGAGTTTTCAGTTAGATCAACATTCTTGATAGCTTAATACTGGTTTGAGTATATTATGCCAAATCCAAAATCTTTCGATTTCGAAACACTAAGATCCTATCAAAGTAATATAACTGTAGTTGATCTTAAAGGACATGTTTACCTATTATCTTAAGTCAAAGAAAATATTTTCGGTGCTGTTTGTGTGTCAACAGAGTCATGTGTCTACATGTCGCCGTCCTTAACATATGTCCTTTTACACAGACACACAAATCCGTGGAAGGACAAAGGTTCCAAGGTGCAGCTGAACTCGCACAGGACACGCATAAATTAACGGGCACGGAGTTACGCCGATTGTAGCCCTAATCCCTGATTCCCCGTTCACCGATCATCCGACCATCCTGCACCTTTTGGCCCCATTAGCACGCGTTCCCCGCGCACGCGCAGCCACTTGAAAGGATAACGAATTTCGACTCCACTTCGGCGCGTGATGGGGTCCGCAGGCCAAGGGCCAGGACCCAGGGTCCTCTGCCTCAAGTGCCAGGGTTAAAATTAGTCGAGCCCTGTCAGCAAATCTGATTTACGCGCCAGCTGCTCCTTTCCTTTCGAATCCCTGCCTGCAATCTGCGCTCAGCTTTTCGGGTCTGCCTTCTTTTCTCAAATTATAATTTTAGTGGCAATCTAATTAAGCAATTACAAGCGTGTTGTTGCTGCTCTCGATGTGTTGATTTATATACTGGAAAAGGGGAAAAGTGGCAGATGCTGGATCTGGAATCTCTGGAGATTGTAGAGAAATATTTGGATTTTGGTTAGGTTTGTTGATGAACTTAAATTCTTGTTTCCCGAATGTATATCTTTATCTAACATAATTTCTTGTGATAAGTTCATGTTGGCTTTTGTTAGAAAGTAGTTCAGTCATAGTTCCCCCTTAATTAGATCAATTAAGAAGCTTCCTGTCTGTGGGTAATCTAGTCTAAGTGGATTTGTGAAGTTTACAAAGAACATCTTACAGATGAGAGATGAAGTCTTCATCTAGGGCTGACTTTGAGCGGGAAACCTTCCTCCTTCCACGTGCAGAACTTCTTCTCCACTCCATTGGTCTTGCAATATATGAAGGTCTCCTAGCCCTTCCTAGACACTTGACACACCCGGACAGTTCAATTAAATGCGATATTTACAACACCTGACACGGACCACAAACTGGACAAATTAGTTGACAGCCCGGCGATGACCACAGATGGTCAAGGGTCAAGTGGTGCCCAGATGCATGCACTTCTTCGTGTTAAAGGGAAAGTGAATGGAAATTAATTACCATGCCATCGATATACAAATATATTCCATAAAGTTGTGGACATTTTCCGGGCAAGGCCAGCAACCCCAAGCGATCTGACACATCCTCAGCGATTAATCATGCGGAGAGACGTAACTTTCGGTGAGATTTTTAATAACTGCGCCTGCTGTCATCGCGGCGATCGTAAAAACTCCGGCCCGTGGGCCATCAAATAGATTTATTATTGAAAATATTTTGGCTGTCCCTTGATTGTTTTGGGTCCTTGCACACAAGGACGCGGCCCCAGGATGCGCCTTTGCGGATGCCCAAAGCAAATGTTGTGTTAAATTTATTTTTATTGTACTTTGTCATTTTATGATGACTCGTCGTATTCCCTTGCCTCCGTTTTAATATTGTTTATACATTTCCCGGGGCATTCGATTTCGATTCGTCGTGGGCCATAAAAGTCCAAATGGTCAGCCTTTGGGGAGGGTATCCAGGGAGCAGCTGTCTTCGAGGAAATCAATAAGTTACAATCAGAATGGAAACCAGAAGCTTTTCCAGTAGCCACATTACGTTTGAAAACATCTCGATGTCCGTTTGTATCGCCGACAATCCTGTATACCACACTAATTAACCCTTGTAGCCGGCGAGATGGATGACAAAAATGGGAAGGGGCGGGATCTTGGGCCGAGGAGCACATACAACACCTTTACACATAATTAGGGGCCTGTTGACTGCACCCGACAATGGATGTGTGTGTCTATATGGAAGGTAAACACATGTCTATCCCAAGGCAGTGAGAGAAATATTTGGAAAAGTTCCATTCTATAGTAAGATTTAACTTGCTGAAACAGATAGTAGAGAAAGTATACTAGATTCTTGATTTTTCTCAGTGTGGACTCCAACATCTACTTATTCCTAACCACCTCCGGCCACAGCCTCATCTTGGTGCTGCTGCCATTCATTAATCCACATAGAAATGCCAATGGCGGAGTGAGATGTTGATGGTGAGCTGATGGAGATGGAGATGGAGAGGTGATGGTGACCAAAGCAAATGCAAACGAAGGCGGCTGAGGCGGCACAACAACAAAGCGGCCAAGAGGCCTATTAGCCACAATAAAGAGGCAGCCTCACCCCCTCGACGACCATGCTCATTCCCCTGGAAATTCTATTATGCAGATGAATGGATATGGGACGGACTGGCGGACTGGCTGACTGGCTGACTGGGTGTTTGTGTGTTTGCCCCGCCAGATGCCATTACAATGTAAACCCGAGAAAAGTTCACTCGGCAAACTTGATGCGGGCATGGATCCGGGGACGTCTTCATCTCCTCCATATACTTGTCTAGATATCCGAGGCAGCACTTCCAGCCTCCGCAGCGGAACAATTGATCAAATATCATAATTTATCAAATGACAATGCAACAGGCGGCGGCGGCGGCGGCCTCTGAACGTTTTCGTTCCCGTATTTACTTGCCCCAATCCCCACACCAAAGACCCCGATCTCTCGGCTTACCGATCCCCGATCTCCAGTCCCCAATCCCAATCCCCGCGATCCATTCGAAAGCTACAACTTAATTTATTTGAACAATTTAGGTCTGACACAACAGCCATCGTTTGGTTCTCTTATTTATTTCGATGGTCAACCCGGCCCCATCTATTTAGCATAATTGCAGCTTCGATCTGAGACCGAGACCAGATAATAATGCATTCTTGTGTGGGGTCTGTGTAATCCTAGATAGGCCACAGTGGGTCAAATAACCAAATTAAAAGGCTGGGGAAAATATTGGGACAAACCGTTTATTGTTGTATTATGGTAAACCTGATCATAGCATTAGTTCTAATCTTACTAGGGATGGAATTCTTTATGGAAGTTGAGAAAATTTCATACAGAATTGTGTCAGAGCTGCTCACAAATTGGTATGCTTATGAATGGTGGATAGATTTCATTCTTTTTGGCCTAAACTCTCTCTTAAACTAACCTCTTTCTACAGCTTTGAAGTTTTCTTTTAAGTTAGTCAACAGTCAACTATGACTTTAGTATCAAAACTTATTCTTTAAGATTTCAAATTCTTTTTGATATTATTAATAGTGCAAAATTCCAGTGCAATTTCTGTCTGACAGTTTGAGATTGAGATCCAAATTACCATGGACAGCAGTTATGAGAGGGCCAGAAAGCTGCACGACGAGGCGGGAGTGCCACCTGGAGGAATCACGCGTTGTTGCTGCAACTGCAGGAGAAAGCTGGATCCCTACCAGCTGTTCGACGACAATGTCGAGGACATAGCCAAGAGTCTGTCCCAGATAATGCTGATCTGCGGCATCAGCACGACCAAGTCCTGTGCTGCGAAGTCGATAATCAAGCGGGCCTTCGTGTACCATGAACGATTGCGCACCACCTGTCCACCTACTCCAACGCCAGGGAGTCGCCTGAACCGGGAGGACTTACTCCAGGCACTGCGACTGAAGTGTGAAATGGAGCCGGTGGAGGCGATGCTCACCTATGCCATCATCAAGCGGGCCTTCAAGGCATTCTACCATGGCAAGCCACCTGTTACCATCAGTAATCCCATCGTGGACGCCATGGCAGTGCACACCCAACGGGCAGCTTGGATGCACGCTGCCCATAAGACCTCCAGGATCTTCGACAACTACAGAGCGGCCTTCTTCTGGGCCCACAAGCAGTACGAGCGGCAGATTACTCAGGTGTATCAGTCGCTATACCAACGGATGACAACCAGATCGGATCCTCTCCTTGTGCCTGGCTGTCCCTGCAAAGGTTGCTCCAAGCAGGAGGTACCCGGACATCCCAAGGCTGGCCAAAGGCCGATGACGAAGATCAAGCTATCGGAGGGTGCAGATCTTCCAGAGCCCTGCCTCCTTTGTGGCTTGCAGGTTCCCCGAAAGGAGAAGGATGTGAAGATAAGGAAGCTACCGCGACCCATTACCAACCATGAGGTTAATCTGCCCAGATGCGAGCAGTGCAATTCTCCCTTCCTGATCTGCGAGTGCAACATCGACCAGTTGACCGGAGAGCAGTTCGGGGAATGTGGCCAGGACTCCTACAAGGTGAAGTGGTATCGTTTGGAGCCACCACACCACATTGACGAACCCAATGTTCGATCGCATGGCGATGAGGAGCAGCACACCAGCTACGACGAGGCGCTGGAGCCTCCGGAGGACTGGGACAACCATCATTGTCCCATCGACTGCAAGCACGACTCCTGCAGCGAATCCACGAATGTTTGTCATAGCACTTCGTCCTCGGGATCTTCGGAAAGTGACTTTGCCACCTGCTCGGAGGGGGTGGATAAGGAGGAGGACATTGTGACCAAGTTGGAGGAGTACCTAAATAAGCTCTGGGCCGAGGAGGTGGCTCAGAAGAGGAATCCATCGTATGTGCCGAGGACCATTGAGCCTCCTGGTCCGAGGTGTACCAAGTGCAAGGACTAATTATAGAGTTTATATTTCTATGTTCATATTTTGGCTACATAAATTATTAGTATTGAGTGATGGAAAGTGGAAACCTTAGCTTGTGTATTATCTTTAGTTAATATACTAACTTAGGTAACATGGAAAGCGCGACCACGAAGTGTGAAGCTTTTAGCCAAAGATATGATAGGCGTTACTGCCACCTTCGCAGATTCCTTTGGCCTGACAAATAGTCTGAAGTCTACCACTGAAAAGTGCGGGAGGTGTTCTGTCACTTCTGGTATTACCTTTAGTTCAACGACTTGCTAACCCTCTGGGCCACCCACTCCAACACCTGGGGAATCGATCGCCCACACGGGAGCCGGCGCTTATCACGCGCCCACAGATCGCGCCTTGACAATGGCCACTTAAAATGCCATTGCCGGTTGTAATCGCCTCTAAATTGCTGGCACCTCGGCTTATTCGCGGCTGAAATGGGAATGGGAATGGGTCGTGGCATTCAATGGGATGTGGAGCTACCGTTGTCATCGCCGGCTGCTCCGCCCAGCGGCTCCCAGGAGCTTCCACATAAATCGCTGCCCTTATCTAAGCACTTGCATCTCGCACTGAACAGAGCCAAGCCAAGGAACGGACTCGGATTCGGATTCGCTCCTCGTCGCTTATCAATCTCACCTCATCTGCACGCAGAACAGAACAGAACCGAACTAAACCAGACAAAAAATGAAAACTAAACGGAGCTGGAGATGGAGTCGGAGTCGGAGCTGGAGCTGGAGAACATCTTCTGCGAAAAATAATTCCGCAACTTGTCACATTTTGTAAGATTCAAAGTCGCGGAGACAGGCACTAAACTGCAGACGCCTCTGCGCCAGGGATTCTGGGATTGGCCAGCGATGAGGAGTCCTTGACTGTTGGAATGGAACTATTCTTACAGGGTATGTGGAAATACTCGACTAAGGCGTAGTCTTATGAAGGAATTTGGAGTGAGACTGAAATTCATATCGAGCAGTTATATCTTCACTCACGGATTACGTTTTATCTCTAGAAAGGTTTGAAAGATTTACTTTTTAAGGGGATTCCTGCAGTCGTATTATCCCTGTTTACGCTCACTATTTTTGGCTAGGCTTCACCCTCGAATTCCCGACTGGCTTTCGCATCTGCCTGTCGCCGTGGCATGTTAAAGTGGAGTCACATTTGCATATAGATTTATTTTTATGGCCGATGCCTTCGGATGGCTCGTGAACTATTTATGTGTGACGATCGGATCGGTTGGGGGAGAGATCTCTGGCCGGAGATCGGTTCTTGCCCAACTTCTATGCCATTAACAGATCTCCATTAAATATTTGGAAATATTGGAGAAACCCAAGATAATGCCGTCTTGCCAAATTCTTAATTATGATATGCTCACATTGAGTTTCTCTATTAGCCCAGATTTGATGTGTCTCCCCCCCAATTACGTAATGCGGCGGGGGAGTGTGTCTAGTAAACAAAGCTCTCACACTCGATTGAGTGCCACTCTTCGATTTTGGATGGAACTTGCAAGTGGGAAGCTGTTCAAGAGACCCGAGAAACCATTGAACTTTTCAATAGCCATCAAATTTGCGTCTAATGCGAACTGAGACTCCGAAAGTTCCCCTCCATTTGTTATGGCCCTGCATTCTATAGGCACTGCAGCAGCCACTCGAAGTTCACTTTGATAGTCGGATTCTGGTGCACTCGGAGAAATATCTGATTAGTTTGAATAATAAGTGTTTAATCTGGAATACAGCTTCCGCCAGATCACTTTCATCGCCTGAAAACGAGTAGCTAGAACCAAACCAACTTTTTCTCCGCGTGCTCGTTCTGTATCGATCTGCTCCATTGTTGTGGGCCCGGAGCTTAATAGTCTTTTTATAGCTGCACTTTTTCAACTTCAATTAATGAAGTGTCGAGTTGTTAACACCAAAACACACGCCTTGCTCCCACTGGTGCAGCCAGGGCCTCCCGCTCCTCCAGCTGCCATCTCCCCATGGACGTCTATTTCCAAACATTTCGCCCGGCCGCGAGATGGGAACAAACTTGGCCGCTGCTGCAGGTGGGGCAGCCGAAAATGTAAACAAACAAATTAAAACGAGCATCGACAGCAGCTGCAGACTTTGCCTCAGGTGAGAAAACGGGCACACGGAGTCGGGAGTCCGGGAGTCGGCAATTGGGAAAAGGAGGCCTAAGGGGTCGAAGGGAAAATGCATTTTCACGGCAGCGCCAAAAGCAAACAAGCCCGGCCAGACCGGGCAGGCGGCCAGAAGCTCTTTAATCCCAAAAACTTTGGTAGCACTTAGCGGTTTACGAGGCTGCCGAGGAGGCCTTTAAAGTATTTAGGTATCCGAGTGGCCAAGAAGATAGGGAGCCAACCGTAAAGCCTTCCATCCGGAGATGTTTTTTGGCGACACCTTGTCCAGATTGAGTTGTTAAAGTTTGATGTGAGATCAAAACCGAAGCTGTTAGACTAATTAAAGGATGGATAGTAGTACCAGTTATGAGGCCAATTAGTTCAGTATCAGTATTAGTTTATATTGACAAATATGAGGAAAACTTATTGGCTTTCCCAGCTTAACACTAGCCCAGTCCATGGGGACTCCTTATTTATTGACCAGTTAGTACACTTCTCACATCATCCCATTGTGGTTGAGTTTGCTCTGCTGCTTCACGGTGTCCAGAAATCAGAAATCAGAAAACCGAAATCAGTGTGGGAAAATAGTTGGAGCGTCAACTGAAGCGCCGCTTCCACCTGAAACTCCAAATGGAAATCTGGAGAAGGCCGCCGCCGCCAACGCATCCAAGAAGTTGGAGTCAGTGAGAAAAATGTTAATGATAAACCTGTTTGTCAATTAAACAAAAATATTGTAATAGTTGATAACAGAATGGGCAAACACGAGAAGTGCACTGAGAGGGAGTGAGATGTGGAGAACTTCCCAGAACCGAAATGGTCTTGAGGAGGAGGAGAAATCTGGAGGGCAGGGCGGGGCAGCAACCAGGGACAACCTGTCAACCCAAAAGGGCCCAAAGGCTGGACTGACTCGATGTGCTTGACTTTGGTTTCATTATCGCCTCGCCTTCAACTTCAATTTTACCATGTCCCAGGCCCAGTTCGAATAATGCACTGGGAAAAATGAGAGTTAGTTCTTGTGAAAGAGAATCTTGTAAGAAAGCTAACAAGTTGATATATGTAAGAGTGTTGTAAGAAAGTGATTTCTAATAGAAGTAGACCCAAGTAAAGGCCACAAATTTCTCTCAGTGATCAGTCGCATCTCTCGGCCAGTTGGCTCCTCTGGCTTATTGTTTAGTGAAGCATTTAACTTTTAAATATGGTTGTGTGTGGCAAGCAAGGGCAAGAGGAAAAGTGTTTTGTGTATGTGATACCGTTTTGAAAGACATTCCGAGTGGCGGGCATGATATGGATTGGAGAGGGGAGTTGTAAGTTGGCGGGGAAATGGGGAGCATCTCGGGCACTTCACTCGCAGCGCTGTGAAATATTTCCCATGACAATTCTGTTTGTTTTTCGTGCATTGTGTGCTCGGTTGGCACCTCACCTGGTCGGACCCCCACTCCACCCAACTTATCCCACATTTCTGGACCGCCTTGTCTTGTCGTCGCCCACTCGTTCGCGTTCGAGGGCTGCCCAGGGCAGCAAGTTCCCACTCCACCGGAGCATCTCATCTGGAATGGTCCACAATGTGGAACAAGTTTGCTCTATTTGCTTTATCTATGCCCATTGACGGTGACGGCTGTCTCTGCTTTTTCCCAGGCACAAGGCTCCTCTAGAGCGACAATAGCTGCCAGGCTCCACTCCCTCCACTCCTGCCCTCCAACTGGTCTCCCATATGGCGGCATTAGCTGACGGGCTGATGAGTATTTCAACAGGCCGCCCGGCACGGGTTGGCATGCCAGGCATCCTGACATCCTTCGGGCGAGTTGCTAAAATAACCAAACATTTTGAAGGGAATTATGCCAGTTTTCAAGGGTTCCCAATACGAATGCTGGATGCTCTAAGGATCGGGATATCAAGTTAAGGGAAATAAAATATTTATTAGCTAACTAAAAAGGGATTTAATTAGTTTAAAAGTTGTACAAGCCATTTCGTAGTTATTTACTTAAAATTTGGCATAATCCAAAACTGAGGGAACCTGAACTCGAAAACAGAGTATAACTTATTAAGCTCCCTTCATTCCGGGGCTGTCGGCGAGGTCAATGGAGTGCCGCCGAAATTCCGCGGAATTAAACCGGCAAGAACCCGCCGATCCGCCGAAAAAGGCCCCAAGACGATGGAAGCCCAAACTCAACGCCACTAAACGGAACCACACCGAACGAGGGCAATTTGCGATCGCTGGTAATTATAATTGGGATCGCTCGGGGCCTCAGAGGAAGGTGGTGGATCGATTGGGGCACTGGTATTCGGTCCACCAGTTGACGAGGCCCAGCCTGGAGAAGCCCTGGAGAATCTGGCGCTGCTCGGCAGGCTGTTGGAGGAGGGTGCAGAGGGCGCAGTAGGGCTGGATAGTCTGGCGCAGCTTGTACAGGGAATGCCACCAGAAGTAACTCCTGTACTGCTCCGGATTACCTGCGACGGCCTTTAGGTGACTTATCAGATCCTTTGGGTTGGAGAAGTCCTTGCTGCTAATGTACGAGTGTTGGGGTACCAAATTGGTTAGGTTTCCTCCTCCGATTAGAACTGGCACGACGTATTTCTCCATGGCCAAGTACATATCCCAGGGCACGTAATCCGGGCAGGAGGTGGGTTCGAAGATCAACATAAAGTGGTAGGGACTGCAGCTAAGAATTTGGAATCTCATGATATTTATTAACATAGCTCAATATATTCTCCTACTTACCCATCGGCACCCAGGCAACCATGATGGGCATCGAGGTCAGCATATTTTCGAAACTCCTCCAAGTACAGGCTCTGGGGAAGGGTACTCTCATCCACCTCATAGGTCATGTACGTGGCCAGTTGGGACTTTTTCTTTAGTTCGATCTCCAGGCGCAGTTTCTGTGAGTCCGGCATGTCGTCCGCAAAGTTATTGCTGGGAGCCTCGAAGGACCCAAGCCTTCTGGCCAGATTCGGATGAGAGAAGTAGTAGTCCGTCCAGATTACCTGCGAGTCCAGACGATAGGTCATGGTCAAATTGAAGGGTGGTAACACTGAAGTAGGACCCTGCTGTAGACTCAATGGCTTCTTGGCGGCATAAACCAGATAGTAATCCGGATTCAGATTGGTTACGTTCAAAGCCTTCAAGGAATAGGGATGATCTGCATTCACGACCACTGCATCGAAAGCCTTGTCGTTGTGGTTCCTTTGAGTGGTGATCAGGCAACCACATTCCATGTGAGCTGGCCCACCAGTGAGGGTTGGATCGTTCCACAGCAGAATCATCTTCAGATCGGTCTCCTTATTCGACTGCTGGCGACGGTACAAGGGAATCGTGACGAACATCACGCAAATGGTTGCCACAACCACGATGGCTTTCAGGACATTCATACATTGGCTGGGCGAGTACAGCTCCCGCTGGAGATTCCTCATCGAGACAGGAGATCTACGAGGAGGCGGCAGTCTAAGAGCTTCCTCCGGAACGCTATCCCCCATCCTGCGATTCGTTCCCTTGGCATCTTCGCCCTTTAAGAGTTGCGATGGCAAGAATCTGGGAACATCCTCTAGGTCTTCCGTCTGCTGCCCCAGTTGCTGCTGCGGATCAGGATTCCTCCGAAAGCTGAGGATCTTCTCCACCGGCATGGCTCGAAGCTTGTCAAGGGGCATTACCAAAGATAATTTGGAAAAAGTGTAGAATTTCTCAAATAAAAGTTTTCTGATGCTGAAACGTTTTTGGGAGTTTGTAAAGTAGAAAAGTTCAAGTTTCTGAGTGTGACTTCTGAGTTAAGAATCAGGGAAAACTATAAGTTTGAATTTTCCACGATTATCACTTTCAGGCTCTTTGATTTTCATGAAATTTACAAAATGAAATACAAATTGGACAGCATCAAAACGTCGCTGGGAATTGATTGCCTCGATCGGGCATCCATGGAAAAACCCTTTTCAATCAATCCATCGTTTTTTCCCCCACCCACCTGGCCACTTTTGCATTTCCGATTTGGCACTTTCATCGGAATGGCCGCGCGCTTCCTCTTTGCCGTTTTCCCTTTTTCCCTTTTCCGACCCGCTCAGGCGAACAGGAACAAAGTAATCAATCATTTTGCCAAACCATCAGAAACATGACAATCTGCCAGAAAATTTGCGTAACGTTTCACGATTCACCGTTGGGGGCGTTGGGAGGATATATAGCCAGCCAGCCAGCCAGTCAGCCAGCACATCGATGATATATCACTGCAATTTCGAATATTCATTTCTCCGTTGTTGTTTTTCCGCCGCCGCCGCTGCCTGCTCCTCCTCATCATCCTGCTGCCCTCCAGTTCTGGGCTCATTTCAAATGCGTTCCGCATCCGCGACGAGGATGTGGAGTGGGTGGGGCTGATGGGCGGTGGTTTGCGGGCTTGAGGGCGGAGTGCCGAATAGTGGACAGTGGAAACGCCACTTTGCGGACGTGCCAGGCGCTTCAATGGATCGTCGGCGGTGGAAGGGATGGATGATGCCGGTGTCATTGTTTCCTCGCCCATACTCCTCTTCCTCCTCCGCACGCACGTTGTCTCAATTATGGGAGAGTGCCAGTGAGAAAGAGGGAAAATATAACTACAAAGAGGAAGTGCAGTCGAAAAATATATTCTTGACTTTTATTTTTAAAACTAAGACTTAATTTTCTTGTAAAATCTAGGAAAATGCTCATAAGTAAAGCTTAAGAAATCGAACATTAAATAATATTTTATCTAAGACATAGCACAATTTTTTATCAGTGTACGATTGCGGGTGGAGTTGGCAATTTTCGAATTGACAACCATTTAAATGTTACGCATTCATGTTAACTTCCACGACGTGCCTCGCCGAGGGGAGTCCCAACAGAAGAGGAAGGGGGGAGACCATGTAAATTGCCTGGATCCTGGATGAGTTATGAAAGTGAAATGGATTTGTGATTGCCGGCCAGACGAGCCAAATCCCAGATGGGAACGCATTAGAAGATCTCTCAGCGAAACAAAGAAAACCCAACCGAAGCGAACCCAAAGGTATATAAATTTTAATTATTCCCGCGAATCGCGCTGGCTAAGGAAAACGAATGCATTCTGGAGATCCCGATGCCGGCGATCCTGCTCCGGCAAGTCGGCGAATGGAATTGAAATTCCATTGTGAATATTTTTGGGGGCGTTGCCGGCGCGTCGAGAAAAAATGCAATAAATATGCATATGAGAGAGCTCACCTCTGTGGACGAGGCCGAATCCGAGGAGGTGCTTCAAAAAGGAGTCCCGAGGAGCCGAGTTATGGCGATTTGAATAATTTGGTTCCCACACTTTCGAAGATCGCTCGCTCTCTCCCTCTCTCTCTCTCTCTGGCAACCGTTTTTAATTAAAGGTATTAATACGGCTCCACCGACTAGGTGATTTACCTAACCACAAGACCACCGTCTGGCCCCATTCTAGACTCCACACCTCCTCCCTGACTTTTGACTTCTGACTCATGAGGCGGCGGCTAACATACTTATCGGAACTGAAACTACAAGGTGTCCTTAAGCCCCGATCTCGATCGGCAATTAAATGCCGCACACATTGTGGGCAACTGCTTAATTATCCATTCGATCCCATTCGATTCGATCCGATTCCAAAGAGCCGCCCTGCCAAGTCTCCCTCGGACCTCTGTGCTCCTAAGGCTTAAGGAGAGGAGCTAACGAATTAACATGTAATTATCTCAGCTTGGGCCGCTGGCCAAAGGAAACGCATCGAATTGCCGGCGACACCAGGACCAAAAACAAGCGTGGCTAATAGAGATGACAGTCTAGCTATTTTTGAAAGCAAAAATAATGGATGGAAAGAGGATGGAACTAGGTAACCTAGGTAAAAAGGTGTTCTAATTACTTATTTCAGACAACATCGAATTATAAAATATTTCCCAGATTTATATAAAAAGTAGATTCAAGATCTAGCTACCTTTTGTGATCTAAGAACAGGCATCTCTGTTAACCAAAACCGAGCCTACAGCCTAGACCAGAGAAAAGATACAGATACAAACCTAAGCCAAACGAGGGATTCCGATGGCAGAGGCTGAGGTAGCAGCTGCCGCAGGTTGCGTGCGTGCCGCTTCTTCCTCCGCCTCCTTCGATGCCTAATTCCCGCTTCTGGGGCGTGGCCCTTCTTAGGCGGATTCGTTAAATTGATCCTCGGTCTTGGACCCTTCTTCGACCACCCGCACTAATAAGGCGAAGGGAAAGGGGAAGTGGCGCTAAAGTTGTCAGTCGCCTTGTCCGCAGGCGACGATCCTCTACACCCTAATTAGGTGTTATCTACGACTTCGGTTTTTTCAGCTCCTTTAATGTGGCCGACAAAGTGAGAAGGTTCTGCCAGTGCCGTGGAGTGATTAAATGCGATACACCTCGCAGAGGTCTAAAGACTTTCGCCGAACGCAAGGCGCCACCAGAAGACAGGGAATTTTAAAACAGAAACTCTTTAAAGATATTAATTTGATAAGTTTTTGTGGAAAAAATCAGAAATCCAGAAAAAGTGGCTGATTAAAAGGCTTGTTGACCCACGCACGAACATGACATAATACCGGAGTTGACTCATCCTCTCAGGCTTTTAAGCGCCACTTATTCGGCGGATGAGTGCAATCCATCACTGACACACTCGTCCAACCGCTGTGCTTATCACTGCCCGGTAACCCGGACTCATTGTCCAAATCCCAATTCAGTGGGACTGTTTTGCGCAATTGATGGCAATCAAGAGAAGGGCAATTGCCGCGATCAGCGGCGGAGACTCCTCCATTCCAGCAGGGGATGACACATCCGGAAGCTGGCAATCAGCAAAACAGAGAAAAGCGGATTCCGCTGATTTAACCCGGGGGCCAACTAATTGTGACCCACTCTCGCTGCTTACTATCAAATGCAACTGCAAAGTTCATCGCAAATTGGCTAAACTGGACCACAAACTAGTTTCATCCGCTGGAAACCAAAGGTTACTCTACATATACCTATTGCATGACATTGGGATTTCTATAACTTAGACTTCCCTAGAGTTTTCCAGCCAAGTTTTCCAACTCTCAATGACAGCATGGTTTCCATTTCGCTGGCTCCTCTTCAAGTGAGTGTGGGTTTTCCTCGCTTTTCAAATTCATATTTATGGCAGTTTGAGAGAGTGCACAAACACACAAATCAAGCTGGCTATCTGGAACTGCGGGCTATATCTTCTTGGCCCTGTTTATAGTGTTATGGCGTGAGACACTGAGACATGGGCAATTATGTAAATATGCGGCGGCGCCTGCTAGCGCCGAAGGACGAAGCAGACAATGGGACAACCGCAAATTATTGCCGGCCATTTGGCGAATGAATGCGTGACAAAACACAGGGCACAGCGGACACTCCTTGGATCGAGGCGGGGAGTAGTCGCAGGAGACACAGGGGACACAAGAGACACAGGAGACACTCGCGTACAAGGACAATGGCGGGCGCAGCGGGAGTGGCAGCGAGGTCAAAGGTCAGCCGCGCTAATGTTGTGCTAATTGCTAATTGCGATTGGAACGCGGTGGAAAACAGAAAACGGGACAAAGGAGCTGCTCAGGCGGCGCTCTATCCTAATTGAAGTGTCCTTGCTGCGTTGATTTACTGCAGGCGCCCCTGAAGGAGGTAGCTGCCAATGGTCGAAGGTGCAACTGCACTTTCCTCGATTTTGAAATGCATTTCTATCTTGAGAAGGTCAGTTCATATAAGTCTGATCATCAATCCCATAAGGACTACTTATAGAAGTAGATATCCCAACTAAGTGATGAAAATTCCAAGTTCAGTCTTAGCCTTTCGCCTTTCATTGCCAACGAAAGCGACGGCGTCGCCCAAGATGATGACAACGGCATCCAGCATCCTCCGAGTGGACCACCCAGAGAGCCAAACTAACTGCTGTTCTGTCATATCCTGGCAGGAGGTCCTTGGCCCCCAGAAGCCCCTCACCTCCGCTGGCTTTGTTTGGTAACACGATCTGGCGCACGCGTGGCCAGCTCCAGGCTCAAGACCTTAGAAGCAGGATCAAAGGAACACCAAGTGGATCACTCTCTGATCTTTTTCGGCAGTCGCCAGCAGCTTGAGCTGCCTCAGATGAGGAGTAGCCGGGGAACAGAGACCAGACCAGAGCCAGAGCCAGTCAGGTGAGGCCAGGTGTCAAACGTGTAACTGGATACTCTGTCCTCCTCCCCTGGATCAGGTCATCTTTAGTTTTGGCATATGCAAAGTGGACCACCAAATTGACTGGATCGACCGTCTGCTGTTTTTGGGTCACTTCTGGGATATACTCTTTAGGCCTTAAAGGGGTATGAGGAATTGGTAAGTGGGTTGGGTTGTAATCTGAATCTGTGGCTATATATTTAGTATATAGTCTGATTCTAGGCCACACTCTCTCCTTTCATTGGAAGAAAGGTGTTTCTAGTATTTAAGACTAGTTTCTAGGGTATGCAAAAGTCGCTGTTCGTGTTAAGACCCTTCATCATACACTCAGTGATCCCCTGAATATGTTTGGGGCATTAAAAATTTGTCTTTTGCCTGCCTTTTTTTCAGCCGGCCACCAGAGTTGATTGAAATTTCGGCAATGACCCCTGCAGCAGCCGACAATTGTGGCCAAAACGGCAGCAGAAGCAGAGAGCAGAGAGCAGAAAGCAGAAAGCAAGAAGCGAAAGCAGCTGGAAGCAGCAGACTGGAAGCAGCTGCTTTAACTTTAACGTGGACATTAACGTTAACAGCGACCTTAACTTCGCCCACTGGCCAAATCGACGAAGCGTTAAAACGC